GTAACGGTCGTACATACAAACAAACAGAATAATAGTATAGATTATCATTTGTAGTAATTTGGGTTAATAAAAAAAGAATAACTAGATTTAGTAAGATTGGTAAATAAAAGTAAGACGATTAAAGTTTAAACTTACATTTTAGAGATGTAAATTGTACGACAGTTAAATTAAGCTTAGTAGGTGTAACGGTACTTTAGGGTTAGCTATAATTCAACTTACTGGTAAATTGTAAAACAGGTTAATACATTGTTTTATTAAATAAATACAATCTAAAGACTAGTTAATTGTGTCCTCGTGTTTTAATTTAAGTATTAACTTGTTTACTTGAGTCGAACCTAGATCCATTAGTTTAAATTCAGCTTATAATTATAGGTAGGTTATACTATATATCAAGCTAAATACGTTTTATTATTAACATTTCTATATAATTAAAGATAAACTTAATTATTTGAGTGTGAAGACAAAGTAATGATAAAACTAATTAATTGGTCATTAAACTTTAGGCTTAACACTAACAGTGTTGACAATAGGCTACTGGTATTGAGTTATTATTTCCAGGCTGTAAGTGTGTATACAATGGTTAAGAGTAGGGTAGGAATTAAGCGGTCACTATTTGTTAGGTGTAATGGGTGCAGTGAGTGGGTTTTATTTGGGGACTTGCAACTGGTACGTACTTTATCTATGTTGGAGGAGAAGTTGGAGGTAATCATTATTAAAGTGGAGGTCATAGATAAATAAAATGGTAGACTGTGGGGAAACAGCAGCAGGATTTCAAGAGGAGCTCAAGCTTTTACATGTAAGGAATATATCAGCTAACAATAACTTTCAAAAAATTTGAAAGAGTACTATTAGGGCTAAAAGTAGTGGATTTAAGTGTAATGAGCCTATTCTGTGGAGATTTCAGCTCTTGGCTTCTGCAGACGAGGAACTATTGGAGGGAAGAAAAACAAAAGGGTCAGAGAAGGAGATGGGTGATAAAATTAAGGAGGTTATAGTTATAAGTGATTCTTTGATACTGCATGTGGATATAATTGTCTGTGGGGTAAATAGGGAGAAAAGAATCAGATTATGCTACCCAGGGGCACAGGTGGAGAATATAACTGACAGAGCAGGAGATGTAATAAAGGGGCTAGCAGAGATGGAGTTTTAGTTGTGTACATAGGGCTAATGTTGTAGGAAAAGGTAGATCAAATGAACTATTTAATAAATACAAGGAGTTGATAAAGGCATTTAATGAAAAAATACCGTAACTTAATTTTATCAGGGATACTGCCAAGAATTAATTGTGAGGATGAAGTTATAAGTAGGTCACTAGGGCTAAATGCTAGGCTTAAGTTAGTGTCTAACGATGAGCTGATTGGCTGCTTGGACTTGGGGGTTCAGTTCAGTGGAAGAAGAGAGCTTTTTGGAATGGATAGTTTACATTTAAATGGGATAGGGATGGCTTGTTTGCTACGGCTATTAACTCAGCTGCAAGGGAAGTGTTAAACTAGGACTAGACAATGGTGAGGGCCAGGAAAAATTAAATGCTAAAAGAATAAGAGGTAGAGAAAAGTTTAGCATAGGAAATGAGCATAGAAGTAGTTATAAGAATAGGCTTCATTTTTACTATTGTAATGTTAGAAGTATAAGAAATAAAATAGATGACTTTAGAGCACTGGTAAGAATGTGGGATTTTGATATAATGGGAATAATTGAAACATGATTAAGCATAAATGATGTTACGTCTCTGGTCGTTTGTTAATTACTCGTAAAAATTCTTTCCGAAAAACTTCAGCGATACAAGTCCTTTCTTGAATAAAACTAGTTTATTCTTTCTCAATACAACTTTGCAATACACTTAATTTCCACGATCAGTTTAACATAAACACAAGCTATAATTCACAACGAACGATTCACGCACTTTACTTACTACCGCGCTTGAATCAATTGTCCGTCTCTATCTCTGCCTGTCTGCAATTCTATTCCGATTCATTGCTGGCGCACTTATATACAAGAATAGAGGGCGCCTTGCAAATACTGGAATTTTCGTGATGTTCCCCGATCTTTCTAGAACTCATTACGTGTTACTAGGGTCACGTGACTTCCGCTGTCGTATAAATAATTTTGATGACAGGAATTTCTTTGAAATAGAGGGTTACAGACTATTTAATAGGGATAGAGTATTAATCAGGGGGGGGAGTAGCTTTATATGTAAAATATGAGTTACGTCCTGTTGAAGTTGAAGATATCAAAGATAATAACAAGGAGATTAAATCAATTTGAGTTACAATAAGTTGATATAAAGGGAAAAGGCTTTTAGTGGGGAATTGTTACACACAACCAAATGATACTGATGAAATTAGTGAGAAACTTTACAATGAGATTAATATTTCAACTGTTCATAAAGTCATAATTATTATGGGGGTTTTAATTTTAGGCATATAGATTGGGAAATGCTGGAGTTAAACCATGAGGGAGAAAGGTTTCTAGAAACTGTTCAAGATGGCTTTCTTCACCAACTAGTCAAGGAACCTACTAGAAACAATGCTATTTTAGTCTTATTGTTAACTTAAAATATAGAAATGATCAAGGGGTAAAAACTGAGGAACATCTGGAAGCAAGTGATCATTGCTTTATTAGGTTCAATGTTTTCCTTCATATGGAGATAAGAAATAATGATATTTAGTTACAAATTTCAAAAAATCTAATTTTGAAGGAATGGGACAAAATTATCTGTTGTGAATTGGTCAACTGAGTTATTTGAATACACTGATGCGATGTGGAAAATTTTAAAAGATAAGTTTTAAATATTCAAGGTAAATATATTCCTTATAGGAAAAAATGTAACAGCAAGTTAGAAAAGAAAAGCATCATAAATTTAAGAAATTTAAATTGGTTGGTATGATGGGAGATTTAGAACATCAAGAAAGTTGGTGAAACAGGAAATTAGGGCATCAAAAATATGTTTGAGAAAAGATTGGCTGAAAATGTAAAAAATAACTGTAAGGAGTTTTTTAAATACATTAAGGAAAAAGAAAATGTTAGAATGGAGATAGGACCCTTGAGGGGTGATAAAAAAAGGTTAGTTTATGATGATTATAAGATGGCTACGTTATTAAATTTTGCTTTTTCTTCGGTTTTTACTAATGAAGATTTAAGCATTATTCCATATCTTGAACAATTTATAGATGGAAACAGGATTATCGTATTAATTCTGAACTTCTTAAGAAAAAGTTGGGAGGTTTAAAGAATGATAAGGCTACAGGGCCATATGATATTTCCCGAAGGGTTTTGAAGGAGGTTAAGGATTGGATATGTGAGCCATTTGCCACTGTTTTTTGTAAGTCCTTAAATAGTGGGCCGGTACCAGAGGATTGAAAGTTAGTTAATGTCTTTTCAAGGGACGTGATAAAAATTGTCCCAGTTATTATAGACCCATTTGTCTTGCATCAATTGTGGGAAAAGTTTTATAAAGTGTAATAAAAGATGATTTGCAAAAACATTGTACACATTTTAGAATTTTACTGGATAGTCAACATTGTTTCACTAAGGCAAAATCTTTCCTTACAAATCTTTTGACATTATTTGAAAAGGTTACCGCTTATGTAGTTGTGGGTAAGGGTGTAGATTTGGTGTATCTGGATTTTCAGAGAGCATTTGACAAGGTGCCACATAAAACGCATTATCTCTATAGGTGTGGGGGATTAGTTAGCAAATTGGATAGAAGAGTGGCTGGATGGAATAATGCAGAGGGTTGTTATAGCTGGAGTTCAGTCAAACCGGATTAATTTTACACGTGGGGTACCCCAGGGCTCAGTCTTAGGATATTTGCTTTTTTATTTACACCATTGACATAGTTGAAGGAATGAATTACTTGATTTCCAGATGATATTAAGGTCTTGGGTGTTGCTAGCTGTAAAGAGGATGCTGCAGATTTACAAAAAAGATGTAGATCATTTAGTAAGTTGGGCAAATGAGTGACAAATACGTTTTAATTATAATAACTGCAAGATAATGCATGTGGGTTATAATTTGAATTATAAGTTTACTTTGGATGAGGATAACTTTAACATTGTCATGAAAGAAAGGGATCTTGGTGTAATGGTTGATCATTCTTTTAAACCATCCATGCAGTGTGCTGTTGCTAGTGGTAAGGCAAATACAAATATAAAGAGATTATTATTTCATTGTATTGGTCACTGGTTAGGCCACATTTGGAGTATTTTATTCAGTCTTGGTTTCTTTACCTTTGGAAGGACATTGAACTATTGGATAAGATTCAGAGGAGAGTTACTAGAATAGTGCCCGGGATGGAGGGGTTGTCATACGAGGAGAGTTTGAGATCTTCCAAATTACTTTTTCTTGAAAAAAGAAATAATATGGGAGATCTGATTGAGTTGTTTAAGATTGTAAAGGGAATTGATAGTGTAGATGCATCATCTTTTTTCATACTTAGCAGTAAGAATAGTGGAACTAGGAAACATAAATATTAATTTTGGCAAGATAGGAGTTATATTCAGTTGAGACAGTTGTATTTTTCTAACAGGGTGGTTGGCCTTTGGAAAGGGTTCCTTTGGATGTTGTAGAGGCAGTAAATGTAAATGGGTTTAAGAGAAAGCTTGATAATTATATGAATAATAAGGGCTTCGCTTAAAATTTGTATAATTATTATTTTTTAATTTATCTATTAATAGTTTTAGTTTAATTTAGAGGATGGGACAGCCGAGATGGACCAATAGGTCTCATGTTGTCCCAAAATATTATGTTATGTTACCTCAGGTTTCTTCCTCTCTTCTAGTTTTAACAATTTGATTGTAAACTTTGGTGAATATATCTTTCTTGATTGTTTAATTGATTTTTAAGCATAAAGCTGTGCAATGGTTTTTCTTTGCTCTGCCCACCACGTATTGAAGATCTGATATTTAGTGTTGTGGGCACACATACTTACCACTAGGCTACTAGAGGGCAATATTTTTGATTAAATAAAACGTTCAATGTATACAAATAAATCAAATGTGTAGAAGGCATACAATTTTATTTATAACTTTCTTGCAGTTATATTCTACCCATGTTTGTCTTTGAAAATGGTTTTTCGAAATCTGTTTGTTAAAAATACACCTTGTCTAATGATAAGAATGATTGCAGTCAAATGTATTTCTCTCGATTTTCAGAAAAATATCCTGTTTCAAGTGATTGGGTGTAACTTCTTAAGGATGTTTTATGTTTTCAAGTGATTGAGTGGAACTTCTTAAGGATGTTTGATGTTTTCATGTGATTGGGTGAAACTTCTTAAGGATGTTTAATTTTTTCAAGTAATTGAGAGGAATTTATTAAGGATGTTTAATGCTATCAAGTGATTGGGTGGAACTTCTTAAGGATGTTTAATGTTTGCAAGTGATTGGGTGTAACTTCTTAAGGATGTTAATGTTTTATGTGATTGGATGGAACTTCGTAAGGATGTTTAATGTTTTCATGTGATTGGGTGGAACTTCTTAAGGATATTTAATGTTTTCATGTGATTGGGTGGAACTTCGTAAGGATGTTTAATGTTTTCATGTGATTGGGTGGAACTTCGTAAGGATGTTTAATGTTTTCATGTGATTGGGTGGAACTTCTTAAGGATGTTTAATGTTTGCAAGTGATTGGGTGGAAGTTCTTAAGGATTTTGATGTTTTCATGTGATTGGATGGAATTTCGTAAGGATGTTTAATGTTTTCAAGTGATTGGGTGGAACTTCTTAAGGATGTTTAATGCTATCAAGTGATTGGGTGGAACTTCTTAAGGATATTTAATGTTTTCCTGTGATTGGGTGGAACTTTTTAAGGATGTTTAATGTTTTCATGTAATTGGGTGGACCTTCGTAAGGATGTTTAATGTTTTCTTGTGGTTGGGTGGAACTTCTTAAGGATGTTTAATGTTTTCAAGTGATTGGGTGGAATTTATTAAGGATGTTTATTTTTTCATGTGATTGGGTGGAACTTCTTAAGGATGTTTAATATTTTCAAGTGATTGAGTGGAATTTATTAAGGATGTTTAATGATATCAAGTGATTGTTTGGAACTTCTTAAGGATGTTTTCAAGTGATTGGGTGGAACTTCTTAAGGATGTTTAATGTTTTCCAGTGATTGGGCGGAACTTCTTAAGGATATTTAATGTTTTCATGTAATTGGATGGAACTTCGTAAGGATGTTTAATGTTTTCATGTGATTGGGTGGAACTTCTTAAGGATGTTTAATGTTTTCCAGTGATTGGGCGGAACTTCTTAAGGATATTTAATGTTTTAATGTGATTGGATGAAACTTCGTAAGGATGTTTAATGTTTACAATGGTATTGTAATAACAGAGGTAAAAGAGAATAATTTATCTTGTCAAAGGGTGTTATAAAGTAATTGAACCCATCTATTTGGACTTGGCGAAAAGGAGACAATTATTTAAAGTTCTGGATATAACTGTGGTAACCCACAAAGTAATGTAAGTGAATTTATAGCAGATTGTACAGAGAGAAATATAATTATTCTTCTCAGTTGAGTTCTAAAGTAACTGAACCTGTCTGTGTGAACTTTTGACAAGAAAAAGATATGCATACGTTTGACTTGTTTTCAATATATTATTCTAAAACAAGTAGATTGTGTGCTGTCTGTTTATTGTTTGAATTTATCGCCAACAAGTCAGAGACACCTACTATAAATGAATCCCAGCCCATTTACAAAACCTGACATTTGGCGAGCCAACCAGGATTATATAGTGGTAGACGGCGGTGAAATAAATTGTGAACGACAATGGAAATAAGTAGGATTATACGCACAACGGTAGAGATTACAATCACGCCATATAAACATGACAAAAGATTTTGATTATTGGATTGATAGAAGGGACCATCTTGGGTTAAAAGATAGTGAACTACGATATACAAGAGTTTTTTAAACAACAAGAACTAGAGAGAGAATAGCAGTAACAGAAGAGAAAGAAGGAGAGAGAAGAGAGGAAGAAAGACTAAAAGAAGAAAGGAAAGAGAAAGATTGAAAGCAGAAAAAGAAAAAGGAGAGACTGGAAATAGAGGGAATAAGAGCACAAATTGAGATTGCTAAGCTGCATAAAAAAGGACTCATGAATGACAATGAGGTCAGGGACAACCGACTTAAGCTGCCCAAACTTGATGACTACACGGATGCTTTCTTAAGGAGATATGAAAGAATTGCCCAAAGTCAGAACTGGGACAAAGGCGTCTGGGCAATCTGTGTCCGCCCACTTCTCACAGGAAAAGTCCTACATGTAAATGCAGGCATGACGTCAGAAGATGCCATGGACTATGACAAGTTGAAAGTGGCCTTGCTGAAATGATTACCCAAGAAGATTTTCGTCGGAAGTACAAAGATGTCAAACCTGACACTGGAGAAACTGTATTTCAGTTTGTGGCACGTCTACAGCGATACACAAGGTAGACCGATATGGCCAAATGTGAAAATAGTTTTGAAGGACTGGTAGATCTACTATTACATGTACAGTTCATGGTTACGTGCTCAACTTACATGCCACTGTTCCTAAAGGAGAGAGTCTCAAAAAAACAGAGATAAAGGAGATCAATTTGTCTTGTCAAAGGGTGTTCTAAAGTAATTGAACCCCTCTGTGTGGACTTTGGCTAAAAGTATACAATTATTTAAAGTTCTGGATACAACAGTGAATCTATCGCAGATTGTGCAGTAAGACAGAAAGAAGAGAACAAATTATTCGTATTTTCAGTTGAATTATAAAGTGGCCCGGCATGGCCAGGTGGTTAGGGCGCTCGACTCGCAATTTGAGGGTCGCGGGTTCGAATCCCCGTCACACCAAACATGCTCGCTCTTTCAGCCGTGGGGGCGTTATAATGTGACAATCAATCCCACTATTCGTTGGTAAAAGAGTAGCCCAAGAGTTGGCGGTGGGTGGTGATGACTAGCTGCCTTCCCTCTAGTCTTACACTGCTAAATTAGGGACGGCTAGCGCAGATAGCCCTCGTGTAGCTTTGCGCGAAATTCAAAAAGAAAGAAAGAATTATGAAGTAACAGAAGTAGCCTGTGTTTAATTTTTTTACAAGAAACGAGAAATATTTAAAGCTTTTGATACAACTGTGATATCTTATAGTGTAAAGAATGTTTGTACACACATTTGATTTGTTTTGAGTATATTATTTTAAAACAAGAAGATTGTGTGCTGTCTGGTTATTGTTTGAATTTATCGCCAACAAGTCTCAGACACCTACTGTAAAATATTCGCAGCCCAGAATATCTCTAAAACTTGATCGGTGGCTGGATGAGTATGTGACTTTTTTTTCTGATAAAGAAATATTCATGTAGTGAGATTAAACAATTATAGAATCACATTTCGAGAAAGAATACTTCGTGGTCTGGAAGCGGAAAATCGCAAAGCAGAATTTGTAAAACAGAAGCTTCCCTTAAACCACAATTAAGATCCATGGCTTCATCCACAAGTAAATATTGTGGTTGTTTAAGAACCAAAAACGTCATTGTGATTAAACTGGGCATACCAACTGGTAACATGAGAATATAAAAAATAAAGAATTATTTTGAAATGTTATACCGTAAATGTTAGCGACCTTTTTAGCGTATTATTAGTATATATGCGCATAATATATCGTAACCAATACTTTGAATGTTCGGTTTTTGCTTAGGAATTCGATAGGTAGTTTTTCGGTGCGTGGATTATTTCGAATCCTTGTCGATCCCTACCATTAAATACTACTATACTTAAAATAGACGTGATATTTATGTGACAAGGTAACAGTCCATCAAAAACACTTCGAAATCAATGGTTATTCTCGTGGAATT